GGGGGGGAAGGGAATCGGCGAGGAAGTACCCTTTCGATCTGAGCAGCTGCTTTTTGTAGGCATAGAGGTACAGGGCGGCGTTTGAGATTTGCGTTTTGAACTTTTGATCAAGTTTGATGGATTTGCAGGAGCAATACGGTCTTCCATCATACGGCCTTTGAGTTCCCATCAGTGGCATTTGATTCTGAACAGAATTCGAGTCGATCCTATATGAAATGGTATGCCCGCTACTGTCCATTCGGTTACTGTTCGTTGCTGTTCTTACATTTATTCAGCGTTCCACCTGTTATTACATACAGTGTGGTCTTCACATGTTCTTGAGCTTCAGAATGACTGCTACAAAATGCTGATATGCAGGCAGAGAGAGAGAGAGAGAGAGAGAGAGAGAGAGAGAGAGAGAGAGAGAGAGAGAGAGAGAGAGAGAGAGAGAGAGGGGAGCAATTGTTTTGCTCGATTGAGCTTTTCTTCCGCCTGAAGATGCGGGAATTTTGTCTCCATCAACCTTGGGACAGCAGTTGGGATTGATTGCAACAACTGTTGATTTTGGGAGTCGGGTTCCATTGTGCGAGTTCTCGTGCTTTGCCCGCCATGATTCTGTGTCATTGTTATTGCGATTCCTGCTCCTGTGACTATGTCGTCCAAGGAACGTCATTCTTATTATTACTTCGACGACTTTTCCATAGAAGTAAGTTTGCAATCGATGAGACTGAAGTTCTTTGGTGTTCCATTGGTGTGAAGTTTAATTGTTGGTGTGTTGATGGGAGACTGGCAATCCTGGAAGCTCCAGAGTCTAAACGACCAGCACACCTAGGGCTGGAGGCGCGGCACTTTGTGCCAAGCTTTTCTGAACCGCCAATCACACAATTTTTTTTTTCCTTTTTTGGGGCTTTGTATTGGCGGTCTAGCCCCAGAAACGAAAATAAAAAAAGTGTGTGACCCCCTTTGGATTGTTTTATGTTTCTCCTCTGTGCCATCCTGAGTTGTTGAGCAGTTGTCTTTTAAGTTTTAACCTTTTGTTTATGTGGTTCGATAACCACACGGCGAGCTTTTAACCTTTTGTTTATGCGGTTTGATAACAGCATGGCGAGCTTTTAACCTTTTGTTTATGCGGTTTGATAACAGCATGGCGAGCTTTTAACCTTTTGTTTATGCGGTTTGATAACAGCATCCTGAGTTGTTGAGCAGTTGTCTTTTAAGTTTATGTGATTCGATAACCACACAGCGAGCTTTTAACCTTTTGTTTATGTGTGTGCACTAAGGCACACGAGGTACGATCATTCTCGTACCCACAGAGCTCCGACAAACCATGTCGGCCTACCTTGAGCAAGAGACCGAGGCGGGAGTGACGTAGTCAAGCTTCAGAAGACCGACGAAAATTTGTATGCGTGGGATAGACGCATCCAGTAGTAGAAGGTAGGGAATTCTAGACCAGAATCGACATGGGACAGACGCATCCAACAATGGAAGTTATGGGGTGACTATGTCAAACTGTGAGAGTACCATCTATGCTTCAGACACTTTTTGCGGACAGAGCAGAACACACACAATAACACATCACAAACAAACACAGATGATGGGGGGAAGGCAAAGGACAGTGAGGCGAAGGGCAGGGAACCAACATCATAGAATGACCAACCGCAACACAGCACATGGAGTTAGGGGCACAGGGGGAGGAACAAGCAGGGAGGCAGCACATAGGCTGGAGGGCATGGGAGAGGTGGGAGGGCAGACAGCGCACAAGCACACAAGGCAGGAAATAGACATCAACCAGAAGACAAGAAAAGTACAAATACCGAAAAACAGCGAAGCGAAATGCTAGTGTCCACTGAACCAGGGGAAAGCCCGGAAGACCAACCGGAGGAATGAGAGTTCAGAAGAGACTACAGCATGGTGTTCAAGGATTGGACTAAGATCAGCCCGGCAATACCGCTGAGACCAACGTCCGAGTTCCCCGACCTCTTCCCGCCACAGCATCTTTCGCTTGCTTGTGGATCTGCAGTTGTATGGCAACAGTGGCTGAGTCGACTATCAAGACAAACAGGACTGAGCTGAGATCACAAGAGACAGGACACAGCCAGAGACAATGCTGCCCATCTCGCCGCTACAGATAGCTGAAGAGGCGGTGTGCTTGTCGTTAGTCCCTGTTAGCGGGTGATCCCTGTGTAGCCGAAACCGGGCAATGGCCTCTGAAAATGTTGGAAAAGACTGTACGATGGGACGGTGGACCAGTTTTCCAGCAGGTGCCGCTTCCCACCAATGGACCACAGCATCCAGGAGGGACCTTGCTAGAAGGAGATGCTTACACCACTCCTAGCGGGCCCCACTGGGTTTTGTCTTTGATTCAAGATACGGTGCCAGAGATCACTCGTTGCGGATCGGATTCCATCCTCGATTCCACTCACACAACCCTTTTCATAACATATTTCGATTCAGTGGCGAAGAAAATGTGAAGTGGACATTTTATTCAACGACTCCTCACACACCTTTCTATTCTATGTTTTCAGTCGTTTGGTGGTTTCCATTGTCATCATGATAGGACTCGACTACTTTATGTACATACCCTTCAAACTCAAACTTAGTCACTAGCGCACCTAGGAAATCAGTGCTCCGGATAAAGCATTAACAACCACACTCACGTTTCTCATGCTTTAGTGTGACGTTATGTATATTTATGACTTGGATCCAACACTTTAAAAAATGTGGGTTATGTCTTTGATGCACCGAAGTGTCTCATTGTCAAATTGCACTTTAAAATGTCCACCATGAAGGTAACGTTCCACTGTTTTAGCGCAATGTAAGTAGTAAGTACATTCAGTTCGTTTACATAGGTGAAAAGTGTTAATTTTTTAGATGACGTTTTCTTGAATGAGTACACATTTGGTTAACTTCAATCCCTCTGACTACTGCCACACAACACCTATCTCGTATTAATCAGCGCCAGTGGTAACAATAAATGGTTTATCGAGCTCCTCAACCTTTAAATGAGATGATATATGAGAGTAAACTTCAATTTAAAAAAAAACTTCAGTCCAATTTCAAGGGGTGCCCAATCGAGTTAGATCAGTCAAGTGGTATGATATACTATATATTTTTTACAAACATTCTATAATACTTTATCATTCCCAACAACAACTCGACCTCAACTACAACTTAGGTTACGAGCAATCCCAAATGAATATTATTATTGCATCCTATGGCCTCAAAACTTCGTATAAATTACATGACATACATATAAGACTCGTATAATTAAACTCACATATGCTTTACATGGTAACTGACGGGAAAATAGTACCCGCACTTGGTGGCTACAAGAAGGACTAGTCCCCTGCAAGCGGTCTCGGAGGATGTGGTGTGAAAACATTGTGTGTGCATACCACAACGATAGAGGGGTGGGGTGGATATCACGACCAGCATAGTTCCACTTCTTAACACCGGGTCACGGTTGTAATGGTTAAGGTGCCCAACTGTTTAGCGCGAGATTACCGGTTCGATTCCTTGTAGGGTCGTTCTAACAGGATGGCTACACATACTATATGCTTCGCGTAGTAACTGGTCAGGAAATAGTACCCGGACTTGGTGGTTACGAGCATGGCTAGTCCCCTGCAAGAGGGTCTTGGAGGATGTTGTGTGGAGAGAGTGTGTCTTTATACTGCAACTGTGCAAGGGTGGGGTGGATATCATGGCCAGTTTTCATTTTTGGACACTGGTAACGGTTGCAATGGTTAAGGTGCTCGAATATTTAGCTTGAGATCACCGGTTCGATTCCTTGCAACATCAATCCTACAGTATGGTTACATGTACTATACCATCACAGTTGTTTTTACTTATCTTGTACCGATACTTTCAACGGAGATCGAAAACTATTTCTAGATATCTTACATAGTCCTTCAAAGTTTTACTATGTGTATATCATTGAGATAGATACCAGTAACCTTATCCAAATAGAAAATGAAAACTTTATTGATCGCATATTGGAATATACCGAACGCATCGATAGTGTTAAAATGGTATCACCGCAAATGCGTATAGGCCATATCCTATTTGAAATGCAGTTTTTTGTTGAATCTCGAGTATTATCTATGTTTCACCTTAAACACGTATAGGCCATACCTAGTTTGTAATGCAGTTGTGTGTCAAATCTCAAGTCTTAACTATATTTTATAATACTAAGACATCATATTTATCTTGTTAAAGTACTTGCATCCCTTCGCGATATCCAAAAGATTATTGATGTGGGACACGAGCCCCATATGACAAACAATGATGACACTATGTCCCTATAGTCGATGCACTGCCTCATGAGTCTTACATCTAATATACAAATAAGATTGAGAACTCATAATTTCAGGTATGTTGTCTAGTTCAACCTTGTCAATTAGTTTTTTTAGTTGTTTTCGAAGCACATTTTGTTCAACATGGGATATCTTATTGGTCCTACCATTTGGGTCATACTCGTTTCGATAATACTTATTGTGTGAAGTATCTCCCTCTATATAACTTTTGTGGGTTTCTTTCTGCGAGTCTAAGTACTTTGCAATGACTTCAACTATTTTTAGAAGGTCTCTTCGCCCTGCCTTTTTTAAGATATGAAAACTATAAACATATAGTCTTCGCAATTTGTTGTTGTAA